GTTGAGAAACACTGTTTGCACTATTCCTTCATGTTCCTTCCATGCTTTTTGCATCATAGCGCATCCAGCGGCCGTTTATGGAAAAATTAAATTGCAAATTCAGATTCCCCTGAGTACAAAACCCATAGAAAGGCCTTTTGACGATATAAATATTTGCATTTAAATAACTTTTAATTATCTTAAATGCTGCTCTGCGACCACAAACTTCAAATATGTAACAAAAAACACTTAAAATCGCCAACCTGGGAAAACTTTACTTTACTATATATAATGTAGACATTCCGAAAAACTTGTAGGGTATTCATATAAACACGTAACTGCCTCGTAACTGCGTAAACCTCGTAAATAAACCGGTTTTCCATACAAAATTAAACAATTTTACGAGGTTTACGTGGATATGAGGCTTTGACACGTTTAGATGAATTCATCAATTCCCCAGAAAAAAAAATGAAAATGGCGTGCAGTGTTATTAATACGGTGTTCGCATCAGGCGATTTTACAGGCAACTTGTAGGTGAAAGCAACACTCGCCTGGTGTGAACGGCCTTTGAATCAATCGCTTCCAATGAAATTGCGGTGCAGTCAACTTTTGATTCAATTAATCGCCTCTAAAATTGCCTGGGAAATCGCCTCACGTGAACATCGTTTAAAGGCTGGGATTAATTATGTCAAAATTACTGCCATCAAAGACTGCCTTCATCTGACAGCTGTTTATTTGGTGTCAAATGCGTTTTCATTACATTTTAAAAACTGACCAAATGTCGATGCCGCAGTGCATGTCAAAGACTGTCGTCAAATTTCGTTGTCAAATGATTGACATTCCGTTTTCATTACTGATGTCAAATGTGAAGTTAGATTTTTACAAAAAGTGTACAGTCCCGACCTTTTAGCTATAGAAAAACCAAAAATGTAACTGGATACAACTCTTCATCCTGATTTAAACCTTACCAAAACTATTTACGGCAAGTAAAAAATTAAAAAGATAGAAGGTTTGGTTAAATTTTTCGATATTTTGAAATATCGGCTACATAATAGATTAAACAACTCATGATGTCAAAATAAAGATGATTAGTTTATCTTTCAGGTATTGTACATAACTTTTCTAATGTTTTATATTTTTAAGTCAAAAGTACTACAACACAAATTTAATATTTTCATAAAATTACCTTTTTTGCAGAAACTTGCTACAGAAATGTATATTATTTAGAAAGTATAAGTTATTACCTTATGTGTACAAGTTTTTTATAAGGCAAAATTTAACGAAAGTGGTAAAAATCGAATTTTTTTTAAATGGCGTTTACATAAAATTTGTTTTAAAAAAGGTTATAGTAAATGCGTCGTAAAAAAGGTATTAAAGTTATCTTTGAATTGATATCAATACTTTTCTAATCGGTCAAGTAGTTTCCGAGATATTAAACATATTAAAAATATGAAACTTGAAGTTTAACCTGTTATGTTTTTTACTTGCCCCGAATAATTTCGGTTAAGTGGAAATCAGCGTGAAGAGTTATATCGATCTGCAGTATTGGTTTTTTGTAGTTAAACTGTCGGTATTGTAGCTTGAATCAGCTGTTCGCATGCCTCAAGAAAATTTTACACAAGAAAATTTCTTAGCCATTTCTTGTGCGTCATTTTATATCGAGTTCTTGCTTTGCTTGAGAGCTGCATACTGGCCTTAAGGCAGTAAAAACTTTCAAGCGCGTTATGTCAAAACTCGTATGCTGTCAAAAATACTTACAAAAAGACTGTTTACATGTTTCTTACTATTTAAAAAAAATACACTTTTATGTGGGTATTGAAAAAACGCAAGAATGTGTTTAATACTTGAATGTTCATTTATGTCCTTTAAAACTTTCCTTTAGTGAAGGAAAAATTAGTTGTGACATAATTCTAAAATTTTGACTAGGTGGCAACCCGAAAATATGTCTATATTAAAATACTTGCAAATTTTCTCTTTTGTATGCAGTGAGCAGGGCCGAAAAGTTTAGGCTTTTGCTCGAAATTACTTATTTTGCTTATCCAGGGTTTCCAAGTTTAATTTAAACGATCATACTTATTTTGCTTATTTCAATGTATAAAACTAAGTACGGATCTATTAAGTAAACGGTCAAGAAATAAATTGCTATTATTTCGTGTGTGTGAACAGTAGTGTCCAAAGAGTTTTGAGGTCTGATATTTTACAGTCTTCTGTCTCCAATTTTCCTTACGAAATTTGGAACGGGCATATGCTTCTGTTGATATCGAGGGGGCGTTTTTTCTCTTCACAAAAAACATTAGAAACCATAGTAGAAAACGTAAAAAATTTCTTAAGAACTTCTTGTTGCTTAAGGAAATTCGGCTCAATAAATTTTTCTTGGCCATTTCTTGGGCTTTCTTTTATTCTTCGAACTGAGTAAAGAAATGTTTACAAATACTTAATAACATAAAAACAGATTCGGTTTTTATTAACCAGTAACTTTAATTGCATTTCTGCTTGGCTACAAAAATTTAAAGTCAAAGGTTCGTCTCTACGCGAAAAGATTAAAAATAATTTATCTCAAATGGAGAAAAACTAATATTTAAAAAAATTAAAACAACCGGCGCAGATCTCAATTACTTGAAAAAAAAAAAAAAAAAACATTAAATTGTACTAAATTTTTACTGTTTTGCGAGCATATTTACCAACGTTTTTGTGCTTATCTAAGCGCTTAAAATGGATTTTTTCTTGCTTATTTTCTTTGGCCCTGGCAATGAGTATATTAATATAAAAGCCACTAGAAAAAAAGTAATGCATGCTAAATATGCCGTATTTCTACTTTTGATACAATATTTATTATAATAGTACTTCATTTAGTACTAGGTTACAAAAATACCTTATTTTATTCCAGTTTCCTTTAATTCTTCCAAAATATTACTTTTAGAAAAAGAGTGTGTGGAAGTGGCCTAACCAAAAAAATTTATATTTGTACTTAAATACCTACTTAAACTAGTCTCAAATGAGATGATTTTAAAAATAAGATTCGCTCATTCCTTACTTTTAATGCACAAATCTATCTATCGTACCATCAATTTAAGGAGTAAGCAACCTTTGTACAAACAAAAATTTTTTGGGTTAGGCTACTTCTGCTCTCACGACCTCATATATAAATAGGGTTTTATTTAGCTATACAAATAATACAATAATTACCGTTCAATTCCATTCAGTAAATGACGATATTTCTTTGAAACGAGAGCTCCGCCACCCCAAGCTGCATCAACGTGGAACCACATGCTATATTTCTCGCATATATCAGCTATACTATTTAAATCATCAAATGCACCCAAAACCGTTGTGCCGGCTGTAGCGGATACCATTAGTGGACGAGCATCTTCACTTAAATATCGCTGGATTTTCGTCTCTAGATCGCCAACATCCATTTTACCTAAGTTATTTGTTGCAATTTTGCAAACATTTTCACTGCCAAATCCCATGAACATAGCTAATTTTTCCACGGAATAATGTGCATCCTCCGAAGTAAAAATAATCAACTGTTTTCCACCAAATAGACCACATTTCTGTAAATATAAATTAAAAAATTCTTATATGTACTACAACCACAAACATATTAGTTAAAGAAAAAATATGTACTAGCTAGTTAATATAAAAATTTTCTAATTTTTATGTATTTGGTATTGCTATCCCCCCCGTTTTCACATAGGCATTATACGTATTTTCACTAGCGAAACCAACCGTAAAGAACACATTTTAACGCTAATACGCGTTTAAAAAAATTAAATCGAATTTTAGGTTGCCAACCAGTGATCGGACTTTCAAAAAATTCTGTGTGGTAGAATCTGGGAAAAAATGTGGTAGATCTCTGGACTTGGATCAAACTTTGTACAAAAATTAAAAAAATTCTGCAATAATAGACTCTAAGAAAATTGAATCTATATATGAGGCGATTCACGTCAAATGTCCCAAGCGCGCTGAGCGGTGCAAAACTAGCTTGTTTTCGAATAGCAGAAAATGGGAAAAATAATTCAAAAACCATGATTTATATAGATTTTTTGTACGGGCTATCCGATGGTGTTATGCGTTTTCCAAAATTTTCCCATTTTCACGGTGAAAATTCGCAACGAGATTTTATTTGTAATTTTTCTCAATTATGGTCATTTTTAATATGGTTTTAAGTAATCTATTTCTCAGACGTTTGTGTATCGGTCGATTTGAAATTTTCACACAATAAACTGAAACCTATTCCAAAGAATTTAAGTTTAAAAAAATTTCTTAATACTTATTAAAAACAAAATG